GAAGGATGGGAAGGCCTGGCGCAATATGGTTCATGGGGTCACGAAGAGTCGGACACGACTTAACGACTGAACAAGAAGACTAAACAGCACTTAACTAATCAACAACAGATAGGATCTGCAGCGGTCTCACCAGAAAGAACATCTAGCAGTAATCTGGGTCAGAGGCAGAACAGTCAGGAACCAGACCAATCAGATGTCTACCTATACAGTGAACCAATCAACACCTCGCTCAAAAAATGAATCAAACCTTTGAAAATATTTTGTTTTGGGAAAAAGAGTCTGCAAGGAAATGGATCAAAATTAAAAGATCATGTTGGGATTCAGAAGGAAGGGGAAACTTTCTATAATATGTTTGCACAAACAACACATATTCCAGTGTTTTTAAAAAGGCTATCATCAATCTCTTTCTTCTGATGTGAGAATCACTTAAGTAAATGATTTGGTGACTTTCCTTTCTATGTGGGTGTTTAATTTTTTAAGGAAATCATTTGCAGGAAGAGTGATAAATTAAGTTGTACTTCTCATTATCTTCTATATTTTAGTGCTAGATAAATTGTTAAGAGCTGCAAAACATGATTAATGTGTCATGCTAATTAAATAACCTGTATTTCTCATAGGTGATTTGCTTTCAATTCTTTTTTTCTTCATTAAAGACATTGTGATTTCCATGTTAATCAAGTTCCAGCTCCTTTTTCTCTTCCTGCACTGTTCTGTGATACATGTCAAGCAAAATAGTAAAACAATGTTAGATAGATATTTAAATATTGACATTGTTTGGAGATGTTTTTAATTCTTTGCAAATAAAGTGCTGACAGAGATTTGCCCTGGAAATTGGCATTTTAAAACTTTAGATTTCCCTATTTTGAACTATGTAAAGGTTCATCAGAGCAGTCTAAAAGTAAATTGTGCAATTTACCAAATATGCCTGCTGTGTAACTTCTATTTAGTTCAATAGAGATTGCATAATAGACTTCCTTACGATCTAGAGCCAGTCCAAGATGTGTCAGGAAATTGTTCTTCATGTGTATGTGCCAGAAAATATCAAAGAGAAAAACTGTTATTTTCAATTCTATGGACATATCCAAATCATAGTATGTTAAGGCTCAAAACATCTGTATAAAAGTGTTGAATTTCTGAATAAGTGATTTATTAATAGTCAATCACAACAATGGACAATCCTGTATGAAGGGCGAGTCCTTTGTAAATGCCCTAAATGAGATTCAAGTTAACATGGCTAGACCTATGGTGGTGGAAACAACCTTACATGATAATAACTACTCTTCTACCAATATCTTGAAAGACTAGATTGTGTTTTGTAAATACCTTAAACAAAACCTGAATAGTGCTATTATTTGATGCATGTTGTGGTTTGGTCAACTGGATTGTACCCTTGGCATGCATGAGATTCATGTATCGGATGTCCAGTTTGAACAAAGCAAGCATCAAATGTATACGTGGCAGGGGTGGAGTGATGACATGGTCACACCATCCAAGTGAGGGTAGGCAAGATTCTGTGGGGTTGGCTTTTGTTTGTGTCTAAGTGTTGGCTGCTTTTTTGTAATAATTTACACATCTTGTTTTGCTGAAATCCCTGGCAGAAAACCACAGCTCTCCTTTTCAATAGTTTCCCACCAAATATTGAGGGTGTGATTTCACAAGGTTCTGGGGGCTCAGGAAAGACTTTGGAGACTGCATGCAAGTTATGGATTGCCCATCCTTGAACCAAGGATATAGCTTTATGTGGATATTGACACAAAGTAAATAAAGATCCTTCAAGTTGGCTTGATACCTAATGACTTCATGGAAAGGTCCATATGATTTTCTTGGCAACCCGATGGAAGTGGTTTGCTACTACCTTCTGGGATTTAAAAAAAATCTTTCTAGTCTATCCTATAATCTTGCCTTTCATCTGAAGTGAGGAGGTACAGCCCTGCTTTGTGTAAGTATTAATCAGCCAAAATACCCTATACTATTCAATAATGCAGTGTAGAGTAGCTTCTTAGATGATCTAGTAGCTGCACAAATGCTGCATTGTAAAAACAACTTAGAAGTTTATTGTATTATGCTACTGTAAAAATAGGTGGAATTGAAGTTAAGTGGGGCTTTTAGTGTAACTTACCAATTTAGCATTTTTTCTTTCTTTGTATGTTTGTAACACAATATCATTTGGGGAGTCAGAGCACAATGGTATATGGGAACATGTATTCAGGATACAAAACAAGCTTGGAACTTTCTTCACACCCTTTTTCATGGCGGAAAAGGAGATTGCAAAATAAATTAAATATAATTATTCAAGAATGCAGTTTTTGAAAGTCAAGATATTGGTCAGAAATTTAGTATGTCTGTTCAGGAGTGGTTGTTGTGTATCAGGATCCAACACTAGAAAGACTTCACTGTTCCATTTAAGGGATAGAAAACACACACACACACACACACACAGACAAAGATAATTCCTTTTAATATTGCGAAACTATTTTTGAGAGAACACCATGAAATTTGGCTAGTAACACTGTAATTTATAAATGTAAACTTGATTGCCATGTCACTTTCTGTATGCATCTTTTTCATAAAACAAGGCTTTTCAATCATTGTGATTTTAAGGATGTTAAGCAATTTTCAAATCTCTGAAGCAGAAATTTATTTTTTCCCCCTTGACTGCATGATGAATCACCGTCCATATCCCCCATTGAGTTCTTTATTCATAGTTTTCTTATCCCTTTTTTGCCACATTAAGTTATGTAAATATAGCATAATGCAGAAAAAAAATTAACCTCAATGCCAGATGGTTTGTAGAAGATGAGATTATACTGCTATACATTTTTTTCTTATTTTTTTGAAAAATTATTGCTACATTATGTATGTGTCAGGATAATGGTTAAAATGGTATCCATGGTAACCTATGTTTCTCTTTATTTGTTTAAAGAACATAACATCCTCTGAACTACCATACAGTTAGTCAAATATGAACATTAGAAATTCTTGCTTCTCTGAATTGCTTTTACTTGCCTTACATTACATCTTCAAAAGGGTTAATCAACAGTTGCTGCCCCCTTCGAGCAACAGGACATAAACTACACTAATTTCATAGAAATATGGGACACTGTATGATGAAAATTGGGCTATTTGTCACTCTACTTGGGAATTGTCTAACTGACAATGATTCTCTATGCCTCAGAAGCTTATTTAGGTCTTTTCTTCCAACCATTGGTTGTATGATCATTGAAAAGAATAAGAAGAAGCCTGGATCCAGCCATGACCTTCTGCATGGGAAGCATATGTTCTATCTCACACAAGGATGTGTAACCAAGTTGACACATATCCAGTTAATCTCCTTCTACCTTGAAGTAGTGCCACATGTTTTTTAGAACAATGGAAAGTGATGGTGACGGAAGATTCTGTCTAAACATGGGTTAGCACCCATTCCAGGGCTATTTTATGGCAAAAATGGCAGCACAGAAGTAATTCTTGCTTGCTATTATTTCATCAGTATCATCCAGTGGAATTCTTCTGGGTAGAGAAGGAATTATATTTTGAACATAGAGTAGTGAGGGGGATCTCTCAGTATCTCAGTACAACCATTTTGTGAAACACTTTGATGATAAAATTCTGTGCATCTACCTCATCTTAGACTCTGCATGGTCTGTTCTTTATCATGTCAAAGTCCAGGATGTGGAATAAAGTAGTTAAGCTAAAGGATGGCAGATGCTCACTGAATGAAGGGTAAAAATGTTCTAACTGCAAAAGTATTCCGACAATGGAACCAGTGACCCAAAGAGAATGGTGTCCCCTTCACTAGCTGTGTCCCAGCAGAAGCTAGAGAGCTGTCCATCACAGTTCTTTAATCTGGATTCATGCACAGAGCATGGTGTTGGATTCAGTGGCCTAAATGGTCCCTCAGTCCTGTGATTGATCTTGTTGCATTTGATGTCATTCACCTGGAGATGGTAGACAAGATTTTTGGAGAGTGAGTGAGGCCAGTCACTTGTTTATTAGTTCTTTCACTGACAATAGCTTCCAGAGACTATTTTTTTTTTGGGGGGGGGGAGTGATGGTGACTATGAATACATCTTTGCAATAATGCTGTATTTCTAGTTCTGTGAAAGCATCTAGTTTAAAATTGGCTTAAGAAATAAACCAATTCTTTTTTCCCCCCTCTTTTTCTTTGTAAAATAAACCAGTTCATCTCTGGGTCAATCAGAGGAGAGTTTGTCTATGTATAATATAAATGAAATGTACTACCTCCAGTGTAGGTGTTTTATTCAGAATAACCACCCTGCTTTTTCTGTTAAAAAATCATCTGAGTACCATAGAATTTCTGTAGTTATGTTTATTTCCAGAATGCATGGATGTTAAATGTCTGTTTGTTTCCCAGCTTTTCCACACTTCTACTCTTGATACTGAATGTCATATCTTTTAATTACTGTACATATGGAAATTGGAACCTGGTGAGATATGTTACAGATGATCCATAATAT